CCCCAAACGAAGCCCCCGCCAGGGCCCAGAATGCTGTGCAGCTGCAGATGACAACTGTGAGCCTGCTGCAGCGTCCTGCACGTGAAGGCCGGTGCTACGGATGGCGGCACAGAACCCCGGCAGACCCTGCTCCACGCCCAGCTCCCCCTCTCTAGCCCGAGTGCTATGGCCTCAGGCCATGCTGCAGTTCCCACAGGCTTGCAGGCAGAGGGGGGACCTGGTCCCCCCTGGTCTCCATCTTTTCAGCTACCCTGTTCCCTCCTCTGCCATCTTACAGGAGCCCTGGGCCACCCTTCTGCTCACAAGGCTAGAGCCACTTCCAACCTTTCTCCTCCGTGATAGGCCTCCACACTGGCACCCAGGTCAGCTCCCCAGCACACAGGCAGGATGATCATACTTCCTACTTCAAAACAGCCAGTGCCTGGCACTGACCATCGAAAAGGGGCCAGGATCCAGAGCACGGCGATCTACCCTCACTCCCTTCCCAGCCTCATCACCTCACATCCTGATACCTATTATCTATTTCCCTGAGAACACTACCCGTTCTCATGATTCTATGACTTTCTGCTATTTCCTCAACTCAACACCATATGCATCATCGGGGGTCCTGCGCAAACACCATCTCCTCCGTGAAGCCTTTTGCTGTGCCCCGAGCCCATTGCTGGCTCTTCAGTGCAGCAGGGACCACCGCTGTGCATTTGTAATCTGTTTGCACAAATTCATGTCTGCCCGGGGTGGTTCACCTCCATCTTCTTTGGGCCAAGTCTCTGAATTCTGCAAAAGGCCCAGCATCTTTAGCTCCAAACACAGGAGCCCTTCTCTGTCCTGACCCACCAAGACCCCCGAGCCACCGTCAGGACTGGAGAAGCTAGAATCAGTAAGTGACCACAGCAGACAAGCCAGTACCACAGGTCTGCCTGAGCCATTAAATTCTGGGAAATTCCTTTTATGGGAAAGAGCAGGGAAAGGCACGGCCTTTACCTGCCGTGGGGCTGGAATTGAACTAAGGGCTTTCCATCCTTCTATTTAATCTCCAAGAATCCTCTCCTGTGGGAGTGGATGTTATTCCTATTTCACAGGTGAACAAACTAAGACTCATCGAAGCCTGGTATGATTGCCAAGGTCATGCAGAACAGGGATTTGAACACAGGTCTTTTGTTTGCGAAAGCCCAGGTACCTATTTCTCCAGGCCAACCCCGCCATCAGATGGGCTGATGTGCCATCTGCTTCCATTAAACACCCTCTTCAGGCTGAAAGCAGGGCAAATCCTCTCTTTGCTGGAGGGCCCTCGG